GTGACAGATTTTACTTTCTTGGGCTCCATGATCACTGCAGACGGAGACAGCAACCATGAAATTAAAAGACGCCTGCTTCTTGGGAGGAAAGCGATGAAAAACCTTGACAGCATCTTAAAAAGCAGAGACATCACCTTGCCAACAAAAGTCCGAATAGTGAAAGCTATGGTTTTTCCGGTCGTGATGTATGGAAGTGAGAGCTGGACCATAAAGAAAGCAGACCGCCGAAGAATTGATGCCTTTGAATTGTGGTACTGGAGGAGGCTCTTGAGAGTCCCCTGGACTGCAAGGAGAACAAACCTATCAATTCTAAAGGAAATCAAGCCTGAGTGCTCACTGGAAGGGCAGATCCTGAAGCTGAGGCCCCAATACTTTGGCCATCTCATGAGAAGAGAAGACTGCTTGGAAAAGACCTTGATGTTAGGAAAGTGTGATGGCAAGAGGAGAAGGGGACGACAGAGGATGAGATGGCTGGACAGTGTCTGCGAAGTAACCAACACAACTCCAGGAGGCAGTGGAAGATAGGAGGGCCTGGCGTGCTCTGGTCCATGGGGTCACGAAGAGTCAGATACGACTAAACAACTAAACAACCGATGAGGCACACGTATCAAAGGACTTAATTTAAGCCAAGGCTTTTTGAGGTACTACTATAAATACTACAAATATTGTACTTTACTGCATCTCCCACATGTCTTTCTTCCCTTCTCTAAGGTGCAACAGATTTCACTTTGCTCTTCTGGTAATCCATTGTCTGAGTTAATTCACACACTTTGCAACTAATTACAAAGAAAAGTTTGTGGGGAAAAGTTAATCAACAACTATAAATAGCCTAACTGATTAACATCATTGTTGCTCTACCATTGTTATTTGACTATTATTAATCTATGACAGAGGTTCTCACATTCTTTACAACATAAGCTTCTACTAAGACCTGCATATCAAAGACACTATCATCACAATGTTCAACACCCATTGACTTTCTCACCAACCAACCACAACCTTGATGCCATGTATAAAAATTTGCCATGTTAGATCCCCTTCTCTGATGTCTGATGAAGTGGACTTGCCTATGAAAGCTCACATTTAAAAATATATAAGTTAGTCTTTAGTGTGCCACCATGTTGGGTTTTTTTTTTTTGCTTTTTACTTTTACTTTGCTTTCACCTATAATGCTTACACAGACCAACATGGCTATCCCTTCTGCAACTATGACATTAACATCTGTCTCCTACTGGATTATTATTAATGCATTATCAGAAGAAAATTTGGTCATCATAATATAGATGAGACTGAAGATGTTTCAGTGAAATTATGGTATTATAAAAGGCCATCCCACAAGGCTATCTCGCAATCACTGATGGTCAGCCCATAAGTACAGCACCCATGAGAGCAAGTGGTTATTTTCAAAAGACAAATTAAAAAGTTTTCCAGGAAAAATAGCTGACAAATTTCTAAGGTAAGCTTACATTGTTTCTGTATGAGTAAAAATGTTTTTGGGTGGCATAGAACATCATGCTTAAAAATGAAGAGAAGGGGAATTAGAAATCAATATGGAGTATTTTTGCATAGTGTCTCAGTAAATAATGAGCATTTTTCCTAAAATTCAGTGAAATGGCATGCCAACATTTCCATTGTAGGCCTAGTTTGCCATTTGGGATGCCCTTTTCCAACTTACAAATGTGCAGAAATCTCAAGGACTAAAATCGGTTATCAGAAGTTTGTCCCTTTCATTCCAAGATGCTGAATTTTTCCTACCGAGCACAGAAAAACATTTCATTTCATGGTATCTGAAGTATTCAATATTTTATTTTATAGGGATAGATTTGGTAGCTCCTCAGATTAAATGAATACTGAAAGAGGAATTTGGAAACTGCAAACACTTAATTTTCTGGTTGTTGCAAGCAGCCTCCTACTAGCATTTTTAAAAATCTTCTCAGTCAGCAGTACTGTTTAATTAAAATCTTCTATCCAAGATAAACTTGACAGTTTAACATAATACAGCTCCCTGCAAGCATCTTGCCATGTGCATTTCTCTCAATGGGTATATATTTAGAAACAGTATTAGTAGAGTTTTTATAGGACTGTACAATTGTACAAATTGTACAACATACTTTGGATTAAGTCATCTAGGATTTAAATGTGTATGTTGATCATGTGACTGTAAAGCAAAATGTAGCGAAACATCATCTTATGTTTATTACAGCAAATACATGCAGTTTAATTTTTTTTTTTGGCAGAACTGCACTTTACAACAATAATAGGTAAGCTTATAATTGGCAATTCAACATTGTTTGTTACCATACAAACTGGAATACATCTTAATTTCAAAACCCTTACACTCCACTTTTCTTCATGGGAACTCAAGGGGAGGTTGCCCAAAAATAATAATAACTAAAAACTTTATTATTAAATGCAGAAACATTAAACATGGGAAAATAAAACCTTTAGTAAAGAATAGAAATGCGAGAAAGTTTTTAAAATATTGGAAAAGATGAAAAGGAGAAAATTTGGTGTCATACAAAATAAAATATTTAGCAATACCAAACCCCCAAAAATGCTTTCTCACAGTTTGAGGAAGATGTTGAATAGCATGTGAGACAAGAGAACAATCTCACGGATGCTGTAAACCTATGAACAGATCATTGATCAGCAGCCCCTCAGTCGGTCTGTTCTCCATTGATCTGTAAAACCATAGCAGAACTAAATGCTTATTTTCCTTCCAAAACAAAGTTATAAATGCCAAGCTACAATGGAAGGATACATCTTATGGTCCATGTCATGGAGCCTATTCAGATCCACCAGCAATCTTTCCCCCATTCATCGTAAGTCTTTGGTTTAGTTTCGGAGTTCAGAAGAAGCTGAGATTTAACTCAGAAACTGAATGTGTTGGCTGCAATGTGTTCCTGCACTCTGGGTTTAGTGCGGAATTGCCACACTTCTTTTAATGTATTCGCGAATTCTTTCACAGCATGGGCAGAGTTCCTCTGACCTCTGAAGATGCCGGCCACAGAGACTGGCGAAACATCAGGAAGAACAACCTTCAGAACACGGCCAAAGAGCCCGAAAAAGCCACAACAACACTTCTTTTATTTGCATTTTACAAGATATTTACATATAAGCAGAACACTTTGCTTTCCTTATTGTCTTAAGTTTTTAAAAATCATTTTTAAAAAGTAACACTATTGCAATATTATGGTATTCTAACCTATAATTATATGGGTTAAATTCCATTGTTAGTCCCAACTAGAATAGACCCACTGAATTACTGGGTATTGTTCAGTCACACTTATGCAAGTCCCACAGGTACAATAGAAATAAAGGGTAACTGTGTGGTCTAAACAAAATAAAATAAAAATACAAAAATAAGTGATCTCTTATAGGCCACTAAAAAATTATCATACAATACACAGAACACCACTTCATCAAGTTTGTACCAGAGTGAAGAACTTAAAGTCCAAATGTTTATGGCAATAGGAATTAGCCTCATAAAATTAACATAGAATTGTGCCACTGTAGTGCTGCAGTTCTTTTACAGGGGGAAAAAGGGAGTTACAGTGCTCTCTTTTATATACCATGTTATGTCTGTGATAGTAAGTTGTTACATATTCATAATATTTATATTTACCAATTTCTCTCTCTTACATGCTGCATTTGGGTTGTTTAGGTGCTATCGGAAAGGAAGCAACTGAATATTTTCAGAATGGAGAAACAGAAAATTTCCTAAATATGTGGTGAAGCATAAGGAAGGAAGCATATTTAAATGGGTTACGAGTTATTTTTTCTTTTGGTATCTATTTTTTAGTATCAGTTTGAGAGCAAAGGCCCCAGAGTGGATATTGTACAAATACAGTTGTTATTACGTGCTGAATAAGCTTGAAATGAGACAGACGGTACTCTCAAGACATTTCTGGACTCTGCATGAGTATCTGGGACTGAAAATTTGCAGCTCCAATAAGAGGCAAGCTGAAGGTGGATCTCTTCCTTATCTCTTTTTCATGCAGTAAAAAACTCAGCCCTCTTGTCCTGAATCCACAAATCCTCCAAGCTCCTTCATCCTTACCCACAACATATACCTTGCTGGACGGGTGGCAACTGATAAGGAGATGGAAGAAATGGATGAAGGCCTTCCCCACTTCCCCGAGTATCTGGCTCATTGCACAGTAATAGATCAGGCCAGGCTGGAATGACCCCTTGGAAATGTAATTTCTTTTGTTTTAGATAGAAATGATAAACCAAATGATACAGAGTGGCATGGATAGTGTTTTTCCTTCAGATCCTTAGTTATGTGAATATGGGGCAGGAAGAGCAGTTGGCCACCTCCCCACTGTCATGTAAATCACTGGACATTCCCCACTGCCCAGCCAGTGGTGTTTGCCTATTCACACATTCGGCGCACACGCACACACAGCGCCCAAACACACACACACACACACACACACACACACACACACACACACACACACACACACAGAGTTGCTGTCATATGGAATGCAAGCAATGTTTTTTTTTTTATTTTAGCTTTCTAAGCCAGTACAAAACTCATATTTGCATGAATGTAAGCATTAAAATTCTTCTCACCTCACCCTAGTATGTTTTTAACAGGATATGGCTTTTTGAGAATACAATTTTGCAAAAGATCTGGGTACAGAAGAGAGAAAGACAGGATTGATTGAGAAGTTTCCATATCAGGCTATTTTTTTCCCTGAGGTACCAGGAGCGATCTCCTCCCCCTTGAGTTAGCACCACCTCCCTCTCTTGCTCTGGGCTATTTTGGGCTGGCAGTGTTAGCCAGAGCTCTGACAGATGAGCATGCTGAAACTCAACACAGCTCATCCCGGCGGCGGCACTTGTTGCTCTTATAAACTGTTACAAACTAGGATGGTTTCTCCTTCCCTGGTTTTTTTTTATTTCCCTTTAAAATAAACATCTTGGTTTTTTAAATTAGAAAATTGCTTTTCATGTGTGTGCCAGTGGAAGTTTGAAAAAGAGCAACATGATGGTTTAGAGGGGGGGAAAGAAAGCATTAGAAGTATCCTTGGTAGAAGGAGGAATAACGGGACCCTGTCATTACTTTGTGCTGTGAGGACAACTCCTTGCTGGTGAAGGTCAAAAATGACAGATTCATCTCCTGCTAATGGAGAAGAGAAGGACCCTGAAATTGAGCTCTTTGTAAAGGTAGGTGAGATGTTGAAATAGCTTAACCTTTGCTAGGCAGCCAGGCTTTTATTTAAAGCAATTCTGCTGCCTGGCAATGCTAATTTAACAGCCATGCTACTCTTTTGTAGGAATTTCAGTTCTGCACTTTTGTTTTTCAGCTTATAATAGAAATGTGTTCTTTTAATGCTCTTGTTTCCTCTCCATTCTGCTGTGTGCTTGACTCTTGACTCTGTGTGTTGTTACTCTTGAGGGCCAGCCATGCCACAGAAAAATCCTTGCCTTCCTTTTATGAATTGTGCATTGATGAGAAAGGCACAGCCCAGAGGAAAAAAGAGAGGGAAAAGGGAGGGTCATGCCCCATAAGCCCCTAGCATCACACAGGTCTGCACATGAAAATTTTGAAGCATGCTATAAGGTGGGCCCTTCTCTACCTTTTATTTAACAAAATTGGCAAAGTAATGTAATCAGACAGAATTTTTTCCTCCTTAACTGCAGACTCCAAAAAGGGCAGTTGAATGTGTGAACAGAGTATGGAAAAGGTGGGAAGTGAAACACAGTGAAATATCCTTTTTTAAAGTAGATGTAGTATTTCTTTGGTAGCCTAATCACACATGAAGTCCTCACTTGCTCTTGGATATGCAAGCTGCTAGATGTATATGTACTGTACATATCATTCCAAGCAACCTGGAAGTGTCTGTCAAGAGTTTCTATCTCACTCTTCAGCTAAAATGCCCTCCTACAGGCAGATAAACAGAAAAGCACACAATCAAAGAACAAATCTTGAAAGATGATGCTGTTAAGGTGCTACATTCAATATGCCAGCAAGTTTGGAAAACCCAACAGTGGCCAGAGGATTGGAAAAGATCAGTCTACACCCCAACCGCAAAGAAAGGCAGTGCCAAAGAATGCTCCAACTCCCACACAATTGCACTCATTTCACACGCTAGCAAGGTTATGCTCAAAATCCTGCAAGGTAGGCTTCAGCAGTATGTGGACCGAGAACTCCCAGAAGTACAAGCTGGATTCCGAAGAGGCAGAGGAACTCGAGACCAAATTGCTAACTTGCGCTGGATTATGGAGAAAGCCAGAGAGTTCCAGAAAAATATCTACTTCTGCTTCATTGACTATGCGAAAGCCTTTGACTGTGTGGACCACAGCAAACTATGGCAAGTTCTTAAAGAAATGGGAGTGCCTGACCACTTTATCTGTCTCCTGAGAAACCTATATGTGGGACAGGAAGCAACAGTTAGAACTGGCTATGGAACAACTGATTGGTTCAAAATTGGGAAAGGAGTACGGCAAGGCTGTATATTGTCCCCCAGCTTATTTAACTTATATGCAGAATACATCATGTGGAAGGCTGGACTGGAAGAAACCCAAGCCGGAATTAAGATTGCCGGAAGAAATATCAACAACCTCCGATATGCAGATGATACCACTCTGATGGCAGAAAGTGAGGAGGAATTAAAGAACCTTGTAATGAGGGTGAAAGAGGAGAGTGCAAAAAACGGTCTGAAACTCAACATCAAAAAAACTAAGATCATGGCCACTGGTCCCATCACCTCCTGGGAAATAGAAGGGGAAGATATGGAGGCAGTGTCAAATTTTATCTTCCTGGGCTCCATGATCACTGCAGATGGAGACAGCAGCCCTGAAATTAAAAGACGCCTTCTTCTTGGGAGGAAAGGGATGACAAATCTTGACAGCATCTTGAAAAGCAGAGACATCACCTTGCCGACAAAAGTCCGAATAGTCAAAGCTATGGTTTTTCCTGTTGTGATGTATGGAAGTGAGAGCTGGACCATAAAGAAAGCAGACCGCCGAAGAATTGATGCCTTTGAATTGTGGTGCTGGAGGAGGCTCTTGAGAATCCCCTGGACTGCAAGGAGAACAAACCTATCAGTTCTAAAGGAAATCAACCCTGAGTGCTCACTGGAAGGACAGATCCTGAAGCTGAGGCTCCAGTACTTTGGCCATCTAATGAGAAGAAAAGACTCCCTGGAAAAGACCCTGATGTTGGGAAAGTGTGATGGCAAGAGGAGAAGGGGACGACCGAGGATGAGATGGCTGGACAGTGTCTGCAACGCAACCAACATGAATTTGACACAACTCTGGGAGGCAGTAGAAGATAGGAGGGCCTGGCGTGCTCTGGTCCATGGGGTCACGAAGAGTCGGACACGACTAAACGAAGAAAGAACAAATAATAAAATGTTACGTGGGAAAATATGATCATTCATAACATTAGCAAGATGCATAAAATGCATACTATCAATTCATAGTATACATATTCAATCCTTCAAAAACCTCTGGTTTATGATTATGGGATATTGTGCTTCTGTAGCCATGATTCAAAATGCCAGAAAATGGTGCAATACTGGTGTAAAATATTGTGCCCACATTGCGAGCAGGAAAAAGAGTGCCAAACCTTACATAGCAAAAGGTATCCTGAATATTGACAGCACCAATGTCAGAAGTCAAGATGGTCTACAGCAGTGGCTCCCGACCTTGGGTCTCCAGGCGTTCTTGGACTAAAACTCCAAGAAACCTTCACCGCCAGTTGTGCTGGCCAGGATTTGTAGTGGAAGAACATCTGGGGACCCATGATTGGGAACCACTGCTCACTACCATTCACAAAGAGGCACTAAAGCAGGGGTTTATCTGAGTAACTCAGCTTAACCCCATTTTTGCCCTTGTTATTTTGTTGCTTGTTTATTATGTACATAAAGTTGTGGGACGTATTCTGTTCCCACCTCATTAATCCTACTTGTTCTCAGTATGGCCCATGTTCTTACCACTCTTACTAGTATATTTTCCCAGTTTCTCTCTGTATGTTTGTGTGTGTGTATGTGTGTGTGTGTGTGTGTGTGTGTGTGTGTGTAGCACATGTGTTTATAGCAAAACACATATGTTGTGATTATGCTACACATTTAAATCATATAGTGAAGTAAAACAAGAACTGTTGCTTTATCTATAATTTTAACCATTATATCTGAATTTAACTTGTACAGTCATGTGTCATATTTTAAATACAAAAGGCACCTTTAGGATCAGAAGGAGACGGACGTCTCACCCTCAGTAAGGAAGGACCAGGAGTGTTGGTGGGACTCAACAGCAGACTCAGGGCAATTGTAGTGGGAACCAACTTGCCTCACTGTTTTTGAAGTTGAAAATCAGAGAGAGGCAGCAGCAGCAGGAGTACCATGGCAGATGGTAGGCAGGTAGGCAGTGAGTCTTAGGAAATACAAAGTATTGTTTGGGACCATTTGTGGAGGGAGTAGATTGCAGGCCTCAGATGAACAGTGTTGCTGCCAAGGTACTCTGGCACAAGCAACTTGCTCTTACACTTTAAGAGATATCATCAAGCAGCTTTGCTTAGGACAGCGGCAGTGAAGTCACAGCAGCCAGGCAGCTATAGTAAAATCCATGGAGCAGGAGCGAAGCATGATGAAACCCTGGCTGCAGCTCTTGGCCTCTGTCAAGATGGTTAGACAGTAACACTGGAAAAGGTGGACTGAGGGAGGGTATGCGACGATAAGATGTATGTTTCTGATAATACCATAGATCACCAAATGCTTGGGTGAAATTGCACTGAATGAGTCAGGTGATCCTTCCTGCGTCTGTTAGTGCAGTACCTCATCTCTGAACCTTGGGGCTGCATGGTACTTTCAGCACTAAGGGAGTAGGCCTGTGTGGAAAGAGTGTTTTATCTTGATTTAGCTGCCTGCTGCTCTGTCCTTCTGTCTGCCTACCTGTCAGCCTCTGTTGATACACAGTCCCCATCTAGCCATCTCAGTGGAGAATTTCACATTGTTGTACAATTCAGTGCAGCAGGACTTGTACTCTGAACATCTGAGGTGCTCCCAACTAAGATGGCTGTGTCCACCTTCCTGTGATTTAACTGCTCTCATCCACCTCTTAGCCTGCCCACCTATCTGTGCTAAACATTGCTGAGAGCTTAGTACGCTGCCTTTCAGTGCAGTACTTTAACCCACCCTAACAGTTGCTTTTAAACTGATTCTTCTGTAGTGGAGTTCCTGAATAAGAAAGCTTAGGAATGCTCAAAGGACTCTAGGAATATTTCCCCATGACTAGTGGGAGAGCACCAGAACAATAGAGCATGAATTGGCAAGACTGAGCACTCAACTGACTATACAGTACATGCTTTTAAGTTATTTTGGAGGGAGGAGGAAAGCAAACTTTAAAGGTGTTTGGCAGAAAAGCCACACAGTTTTCCAGAGTTAACTTCGGGTCTACTGTGATTACAAGTGTCATGTGCACTTGTGAGACATACACACATCTCACCACGCCAAGTTGCAGCCATTTTGGTTTCAATGGATGAAGAAAAGACTTGAATTTCTAATCCCAATTCAGATTTGGTGTTCCTATTAGGTCTGGATCTAAAATAAACTCTGAATCAGTTTTGGGGGTGGGGTGAGGTGGGGTGGGGGTTGCACAGTCATCACTTTTGTTTTCAAATCTATGGAAACAGTGATGAGAAAATGGTTCTGTTTTAAAAAGAGAAGGAACTACTTTCTCTTTCTATGGAGGCCCATTCAGTCATGTGAAGCTTTACGGCTAGCTCAATGGTTTAGATATCTGGCTGTGAAGCCAGAGGTTCAATTCCCCCACTGTGCCTCCTTGACATAGGATGGAATCGATGATCCGTAGGGTCCTTTCCAGCTTTGCAGTTCTGAAATGATGATGATTGATGATACACTTGCTGTCTGAAGTGGTATAGCTGAAATATTGCTTTACCATGTCTGTGAAAAGGTTAGATGTCAAGAATGTGTTTGTTTGTTTGTTTGTTCATTTATTTATTTATTTATTTATTTAATAGATTTCTATACTGCCCATCTAGAACGTGTCTACTCTGGGCAGTTTACATAAAACATATGTTTTGTTGGTGATTATACCCAAACACGAAAGGGGAATATCAAGAGTTGTTCCTAAAATCCATATCTGCCTGGCGTAAAGGGATGGACTTGAGTGTCAGGGAGTATAGCGCAGAGGCAAATTCA